AATTTTGCGAATAATAAGTTACAAGTTATTATGATTTCATCAAAATTATTCGCTCTTTGAAAAGCAACAATCACTCTTGATTTTATAGTAAAATATATAACGAAGGAATTCTAATTAAATAGTTAAATGCTATAATAAGCTATGTTATGTCCTCGTAGTCCACATTTTAAAGAATTAAATAGATATCGAATCATAGTTACTTTAAATAATATTGTGCAATTTGAGTTTTCAAGTTTGTTAATTTCAAAATGTACAATTTTGAGTTTTCAACTAAAGGAAGTTTTTGGAGGAATTTATTATTTTCATATTGTTCTTTTTCTGAAAAAGTGTTTCAAATTTGCCTCTCACCTTAATTTCCGGCGAAATGCAGCGTGATTGGAAAAACAGGACTAGACTAAATGACTTATGTAACTAAATATAATAAAAATATTTTTAATTCTAATAATTTAAAATGAAATATAGTAACAAGCGTATTTTAATTGCCTTTAAAATATGATTCAGGAAAATATTTAAATTGAGTTGAGTTTATTTTTAATAATTCAACTCTATTTACCCCCCAATAAAAATAAAATAAATTAATAAAAAGAATATGACACATTTAATAATAACTGTAGGAACAACATAATATCAAGATTTAAAGAATCTTCTATTAATTATTGTGATGAACAATGTAACTGAAACTAACGATACGAACCATTATGACGAAATTGAATATTTTACAACTATAAGATTATTGGAGTCAGTTTCAGTGAGCAGTTATTTACAATTATAGTACAATTTAATTTTGTATTCATCACATCATTCATCATCATGATGACAGCCCTTCACAAGTCCACTGCTGAACTAGGCCTCCGAAGGAATACCACAAAGCTCGGTCCGAAGCCACCTGCATCCATTGACTTCCGCATGTCTTACCAGGTCGTCACTCCATCTAGTGAGGGGTCGCCCTACACTTCGCCTGCCAGTTCGAGGCTGCCACTCGAAAACCTTTCGTCCCCATCGGTTGTCGGTTCTTCGAGCTATAAGGCCGGCCCATTGCTATTTCAGCTTACTGTGTTGGTTACTCTGGTTCTACTGCGGATATCCTCGTTTTTAAGACTATCACGAAGAGAAACCCCGAGCATAGCCCTTTCCATAGCTCGCTGAGCGACCTTGAGCTTTCTCATACAGTGAAGGACCACGTCTCAGATCCATAGATCATCATTGGCAACACGCACTGGTTGAATAATTGTGTTTTGAGGTTTTGAGGTATGCCTGACGAGAAGATTTGTCGTAATCTCCCGAACGCTGCCCACCTGAGTTCAATCCGTCGATTGACCTCTCGGTTGAAGTTGGACTTACCTAGTCGGACTATTTGTCCCAAGTAAACATACTCGTCAACAACTTCAAGCTTAGTGCTCCCAACAAGTACCGGCATAGGTGTGACCTGAACGTTACACATGATTTTTCTTTTGTCCATGTTCAACTTAAGACTTATCCGTTGAGAGACACTATTAAGGTCATTGAGCGTGAGTGATGTACTCGCCGTATATACCGTATATGCCGTATCATTTCCACTCTAGTAGCTTAAAAACGTCTTCCAACGCAGCGGTGAAGAGTTTCGAGGATATTACGTCACCCTGACTTACACCTATCTGCAGTTGGATAGGTATCATACTCTGGTTCCGTACTCGGATAGCCATCGTAGCCTTACTGTACGAACATTTCAGCACTTCGATATATCGACAGTCAACTTAGCACCGCTGAAGGGACTGTAACACCGCCCAAATTTCGACGAAATCCTGCCATAAGGCTCTCTCATAGTCTACATACGTCAAACAAAGTGGCAGATTGTACTCTTCGGTCTTCTGTACAATTATTCCTAAGGGTATGTATATGGTCTACAGTGCTAAAGCTTTTTCGGAAACCGGCTTGTTCGGGAAGCTGGAAGTCGTCGAGTCTACGTGCGCGACGTTTCGTAATGACTCGAAAACAGTACGTAGGCGCGGGTCTACGTACTGTTTTGGAAATCGGTCTGTAGTTCTTCAAGAGAGCATTGTCGCCTTTCTTGAAGAACAAGACCATCGCACTTCTACTCCACACCTTCGAAGTAATGCCACCATGGAGGACGAAATTAAAAAGCTTCAAAAAGACTTTAAGTACCGCTTTTCCACCCGCTTTCAGAAGCTCTGCTGTAATTCCATACTCGCCCGGCGACTTGCCGTTTTTAAGGTGCTGCAGAGCCATTCTAGTCTCATTCAGACCGAATTCCGGGATATCGTCGGAATAGTGTCGGATAAAATTTGCTCTATGATTGTTCTTCACACTTTCTTGTGGCTCCAATGATGATATGTACAGCTGCCCATAGAACCTCTCAATCTCACTCAAAATCTCAGGTGTTCCGGAAACGATGCTGCCACATTCGATCTTCAGCTTCGACTGTTGGCTCTTTCTAGCAGACAGATCTCTGGCAAAGACTTTGGAGCCCTAGTTTCACTCGATCGCTTTTTTAATACGAGCTGTATTAAAGTTGCGTAAGCCCCACCGCATGCATTTGGAGATCTGTTTGTTTAGTTGCCTGTATGCTGTCAAATCTGTTGAAGACTGTAGCTTTATTTCCCGTCTAACAGCCATGAGATTAAGAGTGTGATCGGAGAGTTTTTGTGTTCTCCTGCGCGGGTCTTCAAGCTTGTCATTGTCATTCAAGCTTGTCATTGTCATTCAAGCTTGTCATTGTCATTCAATCTTGTCATTGTCATTCAAGCTTGTCATTCATATTGTCTACTTTTTTGCAGTCTTCTAGGCACTGAAAACGATTTTTAACTAAAGCTGAAAGTTTTTAGGGCTTTGAATTAGGGCACGAGTAGGACGGAGCGTTAACTTCATTAGATGTGACCTCTCCAACTTAACGTTTAGATTCAGTGTGCCTCTTACCATTCGGTGATTGCTACCAGTTTTCACCCCCACGATCACTAAACAGTTATCGTTTGGTCGTCATAATGAAGTCAATCTCATTTTTGTCGAACCGCTTCTTGAAGAAAGAGTTCATCATAAATAATCGCTCTTCTGCATAAAGTCGGCCAGCTGTCCCCTTGGGTTTCCTTATCTTATCCCAAATGTCCCTACTTTCAGCTCACCGTTCTCCCTTGTGCCTAGTTTTGCGTTGAAGTCTCCCATTAACCCCTTATACCGCTCTAGAGATATCCTCATACATTTTCTCCACCTCCTCATCGGGGTGTGCTAAGGTTGGTGCGTAAACCTGTATGACCTTCAGTGAATACCGTTTGGTGATTCTGAGTATAAGGTACGCAACCCTCGTCGACACACTCCCAATCTTTACAACGTTGTTAACGAGAGACTTGTGGACGATAAATCCGACACCTCCTTGGGACAGATGTTCGCCCTCCCGGTGATGTGACAAGTTGCCGGATTTGAGGATTACCGTGTCTTCCCCCTCTCTTCGGACCTCAGATAATCCTTTAATATCCCAGCGCAACTTGCCTATCTCCTGTGGCGGCGTTGTCGTCGCGCCACAAGCGAAACACATCGAAGCCTAAATCGCACTAACAAAGTTTCTAAGTTTAAAGCAGCATATATAGAATAGCTCTGAACTACCAATCGGAGCGTTGGCCGCTCCCCGGGCAGAACACCTTGCCCGGCGGTAGATCTCCCCTTTTCCTTCCACCCGACACACTCCTCTTCCAGCTCCAGGATCTTCTCGTCAGTTCTCAGTATGGACTGGAGCTTTCTTTTTGTAACTCTCGTCATGGGGGGTATAATACGCTAGTTGCCACGCTTGGCGTCTTTCTGATAATCTGAAAAATGCTGCTGCCCACCTTCTGCCTCAGTTTCCCTCTGTCGCCTTTTACGACACCCACGTGAAGATATGGGGTAGTGAATATTGGATGATGGATGATGGATGGATTGGATGGGATAATGGTGTAGTGGCGACAGGGCTTACAAGCGCGTATTGATTGCAAAACCCTTTGTCTGTGTTGTTGCATCACACACCACAAGCCTACGTATTGTAAATAGTAAAAATATTTCTTATAAACGTTTTTATCCCGATTCAATTGAGAACGTGACCAAAGTGTGAAATTAACTATCTGTAAAGCAAACACGGTTATTTATTTAATATGCTATTCTATTTGCAAACTGTATAATATGTATCATAAGTTTGAATCTTTATTTAGACTAATAGAATAGAATAGAATGATTTTTATTCAGTATGGATTATTACATAATACTTATTGAAAGTCATTATTTTATTTACCACTGGTTCGGAAAATACCTCTGTCCTGGGAAGAACCAGCAAGAAACCCAGCGGGACTTTTTTTTAAACATTATTACATAATTACACTTAACAATAATTTTGTTTATACAATTTTAAATGAATTTTCATAGAACCAGCATGGTGGCAATCATCTTATTCCCAGGGGTTATTTTCATTCATGTATTCCTTGATATTATAATAACCCTTTTTGTACAGTTTTTCTTTAATAAAACTTTTAAACTTGTTTATTGACAAACTTTGAACATGTTCTGGGATTCTGTTGTAAAAGCGTATACATTGCCCCATAAATGAATTACTAATTCTGTGGAGTGTTGTAATGTTTTATTGTAATATTTTTTTTTATACAGTGCTACGAACACACAGTCCATTTGATTTTAAGTGGATATTGCAGCCCATTGGCACATCTACCCCAAGAATTGAAATGCAGAGGTAATAGGATTGCCGGTTTTCGTCATTCGTCTTACAAAACAGCAGTGTCATACTGCTACTTCACGACCCATCCTATAAATTAACTATTTTACTCTACCGTAATTTGAAAGTAACGTTTATGACAGAGGTTGGGATAAAAGGGAATGTAGTCTTTTTATGAGTGCACGAAGCACTAGAGTCCGAGGGTATCTCTACACTACACTACAGTACACGGCGAATCCATCACATAAAAACTAAGAAATATTTTGTATAAATATATAATAAATAAGATTTAATTTAACTTAAAATGTTGTTGCAGCCGAAACTAGCAAGGAAGTACCCGAGATGAAAAGTGAGCATATGGAGTTCCACAGGCTAGGTACGTACCTTTATATTTATATATCCAGCATCTGTCTTTTCATGCCATTACAATGTGGGCGTCTTCAAGGCAAGAGTGAATAGGCTTTTATTGCGATCCACCGTCTTGGGCTACATCACCACTTACCATCACATGCGATTAATTGATTAAGCGCTGACTTAGAATAGTAAATAAATACTTGTATAACATGAAGTGACAGTATCACAACATACAGAACGCTAGATCGCAACATCCAATGTCAGTTTCTTTAACAATTACCATATGTTACAAAGTTCTAATTATAATAGTTATATTTTTATTTATTTACTTATTAAACTTCATACAATATGAAGTATATTCGGACTTAATGCTCTACCAGTCAACCTTTGGGTGATGCAGAGATAAAAATGTGAAGCAGATGTGTGAAATGTTAAAAAATAAAAATGTAAATGAAAGTATATAAATATTAAACAAAATAATACATATACATACATAAACTTACATATCAAAATTATTTAATAGATGCATAGTATTTTATATAAATTGTGTACATATAAATAAAACAAATGACCTACATTAAATAATTATATACGTATTTATATAAATACATAAATAAATACTACTAATGACATTATTCTGCCAGTTTATTTAAATAATGTTCATGAACTTTCTTCTTGAATTCATATATATAATAATTATATTTTCACGCCCGCATGGAGTTGTATTTACGGATCGTATAGAAGACCAGTTGTCTTTCGGGATTACTGTAAACTTTTAATTAGCAACTCACTTGACACGTCTCACTTTCACACCTTTAAATGTTTAATAAGGTATAACGTGTTAAACTAAATTATTGACTATGCCACATTTGGTTAATTTTAGTAGCTATAGTAATTAAATCTCCAAAAAGTTTCAACATATTATCTGTAAATGAGGTGATCGCTTCCATACTGTTTTTAAATATTTTCAAATTTAATTTTACAGAAAATTATATTGGAAAATTAATGTTTAAAAAAGTACCGCTGGGTTTCTTTCTAGTTCTTCTCATTATAGAAGTGTTTTTTTCGAACCAGTGCAATGGTTAAAATTATTCTATTCTATTGCATTTTTAAACTTGTCTTGTAGTGATGACGTAAGAGAATCCGCTACTCCATATCATCCCGTGAATATCGTAAGATACGATAGTAAAAAACTGAAACAGCAAATGAACAACATGTTAATACTTTAACAATAATAAAGAAACTGTGGCTGCTAATACGCCTGCCAAATGTGGCAAACATGGCTTTTGAAAAATAAATTATCAATGAATTTGTGTATTTAAAGTGCCTCCACGATACAGCAGGAAATTCTAGTTTGGGCGCTGGGTGACGTTTTTTTTGTGCTAATGGTTGATTGTGTTTATTATAAATTATGTTATCTAAATGGGTGTTTAGGGAATGTGTGAACTCTTTCTTCAAATGCTAACCTCAACTACTCACGATGAACCCTGTTGATTGACCGAACGAAGCTCTGGATCCCGCTGGTATAAAAAAACGCTGAACCCAACTTGTACAGACTTCTAATGTGGAGTAGCAATACCACTGTTCAACACATACGTACTTTTTACGCTAAACCAGCTAGGCCAAGCGAAAAAAATAAAGTTACCACCTATATACGTCCCATTGTTTGGCACAGGTCTGCTCTCATTTCTGGATATATATTTATATGGTATTTTTATTCTTGTGACATGCAGGTTTCCTCACATTGTTTTACTTCACTGCCAATTGCAATTATAGAATTTAAACCGTGCCTAAGTTCAAATAAGGATTCTAAATGGAAATATTATTTCAAATAAAAAAATCATAATTTCATATTTTGCTCGCTATTTTTCACTTGCATATTTATATGAAATCGTAAACAAATACCTACCCAATATTTTTTAAATTATCTTAGTCGTAATATCGAAATAAATGCTTTTTATAAAGTTCAGGGAGTATTTACAAGCTATTAAAACATGTACAACCGATGGGGAAGAAAGGTTTTCGAGTGGCAACCTCGTATCGCAATTTTACACAAAAAAAGGTCTTTACAATTTACTTATCATTATCTTCTTTTTCTGGAAGTTTTGAGACGAATTCGATTTTTAACTATGTTTTTTACCTGTCCACCATTGTACAACAAAACCGTGATAAAGGATAAAGTAATAAAACCTTTTTGTTTACGTACAACTTGAAGAAACTACAAATTCAATTACCTCAAATCACTTTAAACTCAGTTACTGTAGTTTCTTCACAATTGGTTCAACCACTCCGAATATTAGCCCGGACAGACAGACTGACAGACAGATAGATAGACAGACAAAGTTTTAAAATAGTTATTCATGTCTTAATAGCATACAAGTAACCCCTGAGTTTAATAGAGAGCAGTATTTCGATAGACAATAAAAAAATATATACTCGTAGGTATTATATAGTTATAGTTCTCGTTTCGTATATCGTATATAGGATTAATAGATGTTCAATTTTTATTTCAAATATTTCCCATAACGCCCACTTTTCAAAATAATAGCAAAAACTTGTGTGTGAATCGTATTTTTCAATAAATTAACTGTTTGCCCAAAGGCCACTAATATAGATCTGCAGGTTTTGTTTAAGTTCTACCCGAAGCAAGTCGTAGGTGAAAGCTAGTTACATAATTATTACGTTTGGAAGCTTTGTTAATTACACATCTAGTGTGATACGACATGAAACTAATCTAACCATTTTCCAAAGAAACATCCATACAACTTATGATTGAAAAACCGCAAACTTATACAACGTTGTCTTGCTTGTATCATATTTAAGTTAAGAAAATGGGAAAAACTTTTACAATTTTCACCAACTTACTATTAAAGCACAAAGTTTTGCGTTATTTCTACGTAAATCTAATAAAAATCCATACTAAAGCATTATGTATGTATGTATAAGCGTTATTAACTTAGTAGTAAAAATAAAAATTGAATATCATTTTTAGATAATAGAGAATACTTAATATTGCGATCGTCAATCCAGCTGCCAAGCGTGACGATTAAAGCAAATACTGTTTGTATAATTTTTATAGGAATACGGTGATAAACGAGCACACAGTCCACCTGATGGTAAGTGGTTGCTGTATCCCATAGATATCCACATCTATCGTTTGCGAATCAAAATACAGATGCGTTGTCACCCGTGAGGACTAAGATGAAATGCCTCATTACCAGTAAAAAGGGTCTTCGGGTATCTACACTCACCATACGAAACACAGCAGTTTTAATCTGCTATTTTACGCTGGTATTCTGTGAGAGCGTGGTCCTTCCCCGGTCGAGCTGACCCATTCGTGCTACAACTATATGACTAATATAGCTGTAGAATGGCTCTACCACGTATATGTTGTTACTTTTTAAATATCAAAGCAGGCGCTTTTGCCATGCTTGTCAATTAACCCGCCTGGTAGTAAGAAGTGATATAACCGAAGATGGAAATACACTTAGTGTTAGCTATTATTATATTACAAAGACCTATTTACTATTGTCTTAGATACAAGACCCACACTTACTTAAAAATGCTTTGATTTGTTGGTTATAAACGGAAAATCAGAAAATAATAATTCTGATGTTCGGATTTTTTAAGAATAGAAAAAGCAATGTATGTGTCGCTGCCAACTAATTTAATTAACCTTTCAGTTAACAGTCTAGCATTTTTAATAAACGGCGCCGTTCAACTAGCGGCCTAAATGATATTCAGCCGATGCGTCAAATACAACACTGCAACTGTCTTGTATTATCAGCCGTAGTAGGTTGTGGTGCGGCCGGGTTGGCCCTTGGACCGCACTAAAGCCGCGTACATTTACATAATATACAGACCTTATTAATTTCATTAAACAAGACGGATAAATTACGTTTATTCACGCCTCTAGTTTAACGGCGCCGTTTAGTGCAAAGTGTAGGCTGTTAAATGAAAGGCTAATTACGCAATTTTGGCTGCGACATATATAAAACAAATTATATCGTATTTTAAAATTTTTATTAATTGTCTCTCTAAGCAGAAACGTAGCTTTTAAACTTTTGATGCCACAAAACATAAAAAAGATGTTGTTGGATTAAATGTGAACAGTTTATGTATCTAGTTTATGTACCAGTTTATGTATCTAGAGTAACTATTTTTTTTTGTAGTTTGTGACCCAAATGCTTCCGTTTCTATATAAAAAAAAGTCAATACAACTAGACACTGCACACACATTTTTTTTTATTATAAATATTAAATTGTTACTATTATGTGTATCTAGACGCAATCAAAGAAAACGGCGAGCTGGTTTCGAGGGTGGAACAGCACGCATCAGCGGATTCTGCGCCAGGAGAGAAGCCTCATGTACATGCCCAAGCTAAATTGGACGTGCCGTCGGAAGGTGTGCACCGCGTGCTGGTTCAAGACGATGCCCAGGTCAGCGTAATGGATGCGACCACTCCTACTACTACAGTTGCCAACGAGGAACAAACAACAAAGGTAGGAAGAAATGAAAAACGAATAGCTAAAACAGCCATTAGCGTTAGAGATTACCTCATATATATCATGGATATTTCTCATTGTTGCTGCGCTTAGCAGGCCGGTTGGCAAGCGCAGTTTTTTTTTCTTTAGGTGTTATTAGGAAGACGCTGTCCATCTACTTCCTGGTTTATTGTATTTGCACGTGCAGAAAATCATTTTTTCTGGGTTAAGATCGGAGAATAGATTGTTTAATTCTATTTATTAAATTAAAACGATGATAAAACGTGCTTCGAATGTTCTTAAAATGGAGCATCAGAATGAAAACGAAAATATAATAATCCATTTGCAATACTAAACATGTTTTTCAAAATTGTTTTCAGTTTAATTTTACAAGCAAACTAATAAACATAGATAATTAATTAATGCATTCAGAAACAGGAGCACCGCTTGATTGCCTATCCCAAGAGCTATAGCAATACGGCATTGAATACTAAACATTATTATTTGCATTCCAATCACTGTCAGAGACATTGAAGTTGCTTCAAGGATTTATCTCGCTTCAGTTTGCTTCATCTAATAATCGCTCTTCCTCTGTATGGTTTGACGGACTATCGCCTTTCTCTTAAAATAAACGTTTATATAAGTTGAGGTTTTACGTTTCTGTGTGATAAAATGCAAAATAACAAATACTTTTTGTTTATTTTTATGTTCAAGTCAAATGTTTTTATGTTTATTAAAATCACCATTATTTCTGCTGATTGCAGCTAGTACGATTAAAATGTTTGTGTCAGGAATGATTTACAACAGAACTCGAAGGACGTATTAGGATTAGTATTTTTAAATATCTCAAACATTGAGCTACTGTCGTTGGTCGTATATATAGACATGTGTGCCATGTGACGGCGTTGGACGAGAATCTGTCACCATATAGTCCCATGCGTGAAGAAAGGGAGGACTTTCAAAATTGCCATAAAAATGTTTACGCTTCCTACAAGTGACAGTTAAACCATCGCAGTTTCACGTCAGGGGAGCAGCGTCAAAGGTGCAATCAGTCTGCCAATCGTGGCTATTATGGCAATACCTTCCTACAATGGCAGAGTCATATGTGAAATTTTAAGGATTGTTGTTAAAGAAGAAGACATTCTACTGGTGGTTGAGTAATTCAGGTACTACTATAAGGTACGTGAGGGTAATATGGTCACCTTAAGCTTTGCCGGCCTATAAAACCAAAACTAGCGGGAGGACAAAGACAAAAACACAAAATCGTATACTATAACTAATATATTAAGAAAAAAATGCCAACAAGCTTTGGCATTAATCAGGAACACTTTGAAAAATCATCTTTAAAAAAAAACGAACTACACTATTCAATAATAAAATGACTAAAATATTTACCATAATGTCAACTGTGATAATGGCGTCGATAAAGGAGCGCCCGTTTGACCTTTTGTTATATGATTGACTGATGAAGAGCTATCGCATCGCAAAGCCATCTATGCAAACAAGGCTGTAGTTTTTCAGTTATCACCCTCACATACTATATACATGTTAGGTGGTGATTTGTTAATTCGTATGTCAGTGGAAATCACAGTACACATTAATTACACTTTTCGAAATAGTTGTAGTATGTTGCAGTGATTTTAGATTGTATCTAAACGATTATATTAATTTATTATATAGGCGTTTTACAGAATAGCGGAGACAGTATAGTGTGAAAATCAAACTAAACCACAAAACAAAATCAAACCTTCTATAGCCGCTAAAAAGATAAATAATATTATGTCATTTCGTAGAAAACTTGTGTATTCATATTGAGTATTTAATCATTATTAAATGATTAGAGTCTATGTGTGTAGGAGCACGTTAATACTATGAGTAGAGAAAGTGAGAAAAAACGAAAAATTAATTTTAAAATATTTTATTAATATACTATTACTATTTTTAAGCAAACACGTCAATGATGATATTGTCTTTTCCTTTTGTTTTAAAGGTATTTCACGGTGCAGCTCGTTTGGTTCAGCCGGGCGCTGCCACCAACAATCCTTCAAACCATTCACCTAACCACTCGGCTGTCCGACGTGCTTTCAACGCTGACATTACTAAGGAGACCAAAAATAATGTATGTATTATTTTTAAAATATTGTCAATATATAGTTAATAACTACGCACTGGCATATACAAGATAAAAAAAAACAGACGGGAGCGAGTAAAACTCGCGCCCTAAGGGTTTCGAATAAACTTTATAATGCATATAGATAGTTCATCCATCGCGGGAATCGAGTCGAGAGAAATTTTACCTGTTTTCGATATCGATATACAAAAGCCGTAAATTTACATTTATTTACATAACATAATATACAATATTTTATTATATACAATATAAAAAAGCTAGAATAAAAAAAAAAACTAAAACTAGTAGCTTAATTATCATACAGTCCTACTCCCCGCGGTATCGTGCCAAGAACACTGGCTGCGTTACCTCGCTGAATGGCTATACTTAGCCTTTGAGCGAGAAAAGTACCAGCCCTCTTATCAGCAGCAGCAACGACCAGTCGCGGATGGAGTTCCTTTAGGAACTTAACCGCACGTGGATCCCACGAACCGATTGTCTCTACAGCAAAGGGCACAAATATGTACTCATCTTTCAGCCGTCAATTATGATTTCTTATGTTACACATTCATGAACACTACACATTTAAATGAAATAAATGTATCTGAAGGTTGTGAAGGTATCAAATGACAAACTCAACTTTGCAGTTATTTTTTTGGATTTATTCCTTTACTTGTGCTATGAGACTTCTTGCCAAAATTCATGATTTTAGGTTAACGGGAAGTGTCCTATAGATTCTGATGAGTAAATTGCGAATATCAACATATGGACGGAGTTTGAGACAGAGGAGTGATCCTATAGGGGTTCCATTTTTTGTTTTTGAGATACGAAACCCTTCAAAATCTACTGTCCTCTCAACTCTTCACAGCTTCATATGACGAAACACCGAATGGCAACATGAGGGACTTCTCAAATTTTAAATTTTTCAAATTTTGGAATAGAGTTTTTAGAAGTAAAACTATTTATTACATATTTATACAAAAGAAAAACAATCATTCTAAATATTATTAAATCAATAATCTTTTGAAAGCATAGCCAAAATAATTATTATTATAATTCAAAAGTTTGGCAAGGAATAAGTTGATTGGATCCAACCTTCCAACTGAAATTAATCTGAGCAATATATTCATTATTCATACAATGATATATTAATTTTTAATTTCGAGAAATTTCGTTCATTAATGTAAATTTACAGAGAATGTAATAAAATAAAGGACATTTCTTATGTAACAATTACATACATAAATATTTATTGCAAAACCTACCTTTCGGGTGTATCCCATTTAAGACTGGGGCGGCATCAGAGGCAGCTGCTTTAAATAAATGTCGCAAATAATTTTCACTAGGAGATGAATATGTAATTGTGCAATTTTCTGTAGAGACTACCAGTCTGTGGAACCCACGCGCGGTAAAGTTTTAAAAGAATTGATTCCGTAAAGAACTACGTCTCATTCACCTCTAGTAACCCTTAGTATAGCAATTCAGCGAGGAAACACAACCAGCGTTTTTAGTAACATACCATAGTGTGAGAAGTTGGATTGTGATTAATTATTTGGGTATTAAGTTTACGTTTTATTATTGTAATTATTGTATAAGTATATTTTGGGTATGTGAAGAAATTTTTATTCCATGGGTCACACAATAAAATGAAATTCAGAAGCTTAAAAACAGATGAGCAAAAATAATATTGAACTTATTTAAAATTATCAAATTTGCTTCGGATAATGGAGCCATTATTATATTTTACTTCGTCTAAAATGTATCCATTACAAAAAGTCACCTTAGCATAAGCTAAGATAACTTAATAAGCTAAATATACAGTATCGATCTGTCTCCTTGTTAGCTCCAGATTTAGGTTCCTCTCAGTAGGTTATCAGGTATTCAGGTCAAGCATTGTTACGTACTCGTACGTACTAGACAATGAAATTTGTTTTGAGGATAAATTCAATATATTTTTGTAGCATAGTTCTGAAGAGTATAATGAAGTGTATTGTATTTTTATATTATGAAGTATTTTGTTGCTGTGTGTGTTATATTTATTAACATTTACGATAGCAACATATAAAATGTGTTCGCTAGATACTGTAGAAGAGAAGGAACCAGATTAAGAGTGTAAGTTTATTGCGTTTATGCAAAAACTAAAAAGTTTATTGTTTGTTTTTTAACGTGATAGAGCCATGCTGCAGCTATATTAGTAGTATAGTTGTAGCACGAATAGGTCGGCCCGACCGGGGAAGGACCACGCTCTCACAGAAAATCAGCGTAAAATAGCAGCTTAACGCTGCTGTGTTTCGTATGGTGAGTGTAGAGAACCGGAGACCCTTTTTACTGGCAAGGAGGCATTCCATCTTAGTCCTCACGGGTGACAACGCATCTGCATGTTGAGTCTTTATTGAGGATAGATGTAGACGTCTATGGGCCACAGTAAAGACTTACCATCAGGTGGACTGTGTGCTCGTTTGTCATCCTATCCTATAAAAAAAAAGTTTATTGAGAAATAAATTAACTACATTTTATTAGTCATTTGTTTTTTTTTTTTGTTTAACATTTACACTATCAATAACGTGAAGTATTAAAATTATAATATTGTGAAATTCTTATGTACACATACATAGCACGTTGCAATTTTTTTGGCAAATGTTTGTTCTTAGCTTTACTTTGTGGTAGTAAGAAACAAACAAATAATATTTTTTCTTGTTGGTTCTTCCCAGGACAGAGATATTTTCCGAACAAGTGGTGAATCAAACATAAAAATGACTCTGTCTCTGAAAAAAGTTTCTGTTTCGTTTAATCAGTACAATCTACATAGCGTATAACCTACATCAGAAAAATTAAGATAAAAATTATCCAATTACAAATTAACAAAATGTGAAATTTTTTTTCAAAAATTCCAGAAATTAAATGAGGCTTATGCCCAGCTGTGGGCCGTATATAGGCTGTAACTTTTTATTAATATTTTTATAATCTATACAAATAAATAAAATTGCAGTGTCAAAATAACAGCCTTTAACTAAATGCATTTGAAAGTATATATACTTATAACAAAAACATAATTTTTAAATTTTTTCTCTGTCTGTCTGTCTGTCTGTTTGTAGCAGCTAATCTGCGAAAGGGCTGAACCGATTTTGACGGGACTTTCACTAGCAGATAGTTAATGTTATAAGAAGTAACATAGGCTACTTTTATTTTAGAAAAGGAATAAGGGTTCCGCGCAAAAAAATTAAAACCCATAAAATCCAATCATAATAAATTCCACGCAGGCGAAGTCGCGGGGAACAGCTAGTATATCGTATTAATCATTTTTTTTAAATATTATAAGATAAGTAGATTCGATATAAATTTTTCCTTTTAGCTTTATTCGTCTTTCATTGTGTTTATATTTCCAAGAAGCTAGTATTTCACATACAGTTTTATTGCGCTGTGACACGTAATGAAATAACAGTGGTTTTAGCTCTATCTGGATTAGCGTTAGCACCAGTCCAATCCTACGAATGGAGTAACTGACTATAACCGAGCTGAATGCAGCAGTTAAAGGATTTTACGACTTGCTAAAGCTTTGTCATAAAACGTAATGCGATAGACAGCTGCTTTCAAATTGGGAGTTTACTTTAGTTATATGAAACAGCGGCGATACACGCAATTTTTATTTAATTTGGTCAGTCTCTTTCTGGTAAACCAATTATTGAGGAATTCCCCACTAGATGAAGTGACGACCTGTCTTTCAAGAAGGCCTATATAAGAGTGGACTAGTGAGGACCTATAATATTAATGATGATTACTATTAAATTACCGTTTTAAAATATAATATTCTAATAATAAAACACGTAGTATTTAGAATGCTACATGTTTATTAAGATTTTTGGCTTGGATGCTTGTCCTTTAAGTCATGTCTTCATTTATGTCAGTATCAAGTGATAATAATCCTTTATAGTACACTGATTCACAATATGTCGACGCGTCACATTGCGTAGTTTTTTGGGAGATTTTGACGGCAACTTGAGCCAGCAGGTGGCGATAGTATCTCAAGGCGCCTAAGCAGAAGACACCTTATTTTGAGATTCACATCACCATCGGAGCACTTGTTGCATCGTTTCCACGAATCGTTCACATGCGCAGGCATTTAATACATAAGTTGCACCACTTTTATATATTAAAATCTACTTCAAACCATTATTTAAACAATAATACAGGAGCAGTAATCCGCTGCCGCGCCGGTCTAATTCTCGCCAAAACTCCTGTATGCTACATTAGCATTAATTGGCACAGATTATAAATAAATACCATTTTTTTAAACTACGTTAACTTTTAAGGCATAGAAATTTTTGGTTTTAAGTAATAGAATTAAAGATTTAGATTTACTAAAAGTACACGTGAATAAGAGTATTTTACACTGATCCTAAATATCCTATAGATTGTAGAATTTCTTTTTTGTCTACGAGTCCGTGTGGATAGGTTAGGTTACCTACCTATTTCTGACGCCAAATATGAGTGCCTTTACTGCTGTGTTCTGGCGGGTACTATACCACAGTATTACTCATCCATTTTAGTCCTCAGTGGTGACAATGCATCTGTGGCCTTCTTTGTTTGTTGTTGGCTGTAGGTGTCCATGGACTATAGACCACTTTCCATCAGATGAACTATAAATTTGTTTTATCACTTCAGTATTATTAAAAAAATGAGTTTTTGATTAGAGTAAGGAAAGGTCTAATTTTATATTTTGAAACTACTAACGCTGTTTCCCTTACAAACGCCGCCATACTCTTTACAGCAAAGACATTTAGGTAGTAGATATATTTAAATCTCTTTGGTTTATAGCAAGAACCGGCGCTTACCCGGTCGCGTGTGTGCCATTTTACTTTATGTTACGACGAGTATGTGTGGAAGTACCGCAGATGTTCGTGTGTTAAGTCTTTACGGCTGCATTAAAATTATGACAAAATAAAAGGATAATAGTTACTGATTGAAACATATATGCATACATATACGCCACGCCTGCAGAGTCCAAAGAGCAGTGAGCCGATTGGACTAAGTTTAGATAAAGAAATATAGGTACAGGTGAAAAAATGTGAAAGAAGTGTTAGGTGGCTCGCCCATCACCTACATAATTACAAACCCAATGTCCTATTAGTCACCTTTTACAACATTCTATGCAAGTAACACAATTGGCACATTATTTGTTCGTTGTAAATCCCATATAACCTTAGGACCTATAATTCCCAGATCAACATGGAGCTACTGTTTAAAGTAACACATTAAGACGGTACCTAGTAACCGATATTTATATTAGTTACTGATTCTGTACAGTCTCGTTACTCTCCTGTAAATACTCTTCGGCTGAATAATAACCTTTCCCATATACTAAGAGCTAATTTATTTTATACAGTTGGGCCCCAGAAATTATACAAAATCATATGTTATTATACGAACCAACATAACTGTTGCAAAAAAGACATTTTTTTACCTTAAATGTTAACGAATAGTACTTGAGAGAATTATTATAAAAATGTTGAAAATTAATTAGCCGCCCTCCCTCAATTGCGTGCACTATCCCCGTCACCACTAATCCCAACATCACTACTCCCAACACCACTACACTAGGAAAGACACCACAGTCGATAATATGACACGTGTTTCGCCTCTAAACCAGGCATCATCAGGTAAAATAGACTCTGTGGTGGCTGACCGTTAAGAACGGTCTTATTTAACGTTACTACTAATTAACTACTAATACTACTTTTTTGTTACTACTAATACTAATAAGCGTACTACGTTTTATTTTATTTTGTTAAGCGCATCGCAGCTAATTAATTTTTAGCATCTTTAATTTATTGAATTTCCGCAAAGTAACGCCTGATTCTATTAACTAGAGAACATTATTACCGAGGCATACAAATTTAAAAAGAGTGACAAACATGCAATCTAACAGGCCTGAAATGCAGTACTAGACATCAATCCCAGGCCAAATATCTTCTAAACCATGCTTGGATACCCGCGGTATCAGATGGAAAGATTGTTTCTCTAAAGCCGTAGGTAACACGACGGGCATGGCGTATTGTACATAATATGTATGGCTAACTAGTATTTCGATGCCTTATAATATAAATATTAAGGCTACTACGTTCTATTCACGGGAGCTATAGCATTTACATTTTAATGGTTTCTAGTACATTTCAATGCGTATTTACTTAGAAATGTTATGCAAATACATCGCCATCTGCGACGTATTGAAGGATTATTTATTCAGAAATCTTAACTCATTCCGCCTTAGGTGGCAGGACAAAGGGAACTTAACGTGGTAGAGCCAAGGAGCAGCTACCTATAATATTATTATTGCAGCACGAATGAGTCGGTTTGTAGCCGGTGGAAGGTAAAGGAGAGATCTCCCGCCGGGCAAGGTATTCTGCCCGGTGAGCGGCCAACGCTTCGGTTAGTAGTTCGGAGCTATTCTATAATATGCTGCTTTAACTTCGGAACTTTGTTAGTGCGATTTAGGTTTCGATGTGTTTCGCTTGTGGCGCGAGGACAGCGCCGCCACATCACCCCCCTGCTCATACCGGAGGTCGATAGTGCAGTCCGATTGCCGGTGCGTCCTTAATGCCGGTGGGGAATGCATGCTATGTGCGTAAGGGCAAGTGACGCCGGTGCGAACGATATGCCGGTGTGTAATGCATGCCGTACTACGCACTTGCAAGTGATGCCGGTGAGAACGATGAGCCGGAGCAAGTGCCAGTGATGGCCTTGTAGTCTGCGGTGAGTCGGGAAGAAGGCAAGTAATCTTCGAGAGTGCCGTGAAGCAGAGGCGAGCAGTAAGACTCAGAGCCGTGCCGAACACTGTAGCGCAGAGAGTAGCTTTGAAGGAACAGGAAGCATTATTATTCCAGTGCTGCGATGAACCTTTGTAAAGCTAGATGGCTTGCAGAATGTGAAGACTGCAGACAATATCTGCTCGGGAGCGAATGAATGGGGTACTTGAGGATGATGACGAACATTTGAAGTTGTAATTTCCGAAGGTTGTTGGTTACGTGTTCATATCACGTCGGTTGGTCAACACTGTAGCCGGTGGAAGGAAAAGGGGAGATCTCCCGCCGGGCAAGGTGTTCTGCCCGGGGAGCCGGAGCAGCGCTCCAATTGGTAGTTCGGAGCTATTCTATATATGCTGCTTTAACGTCGGAACTTTGATAGCGCGATTTAGGCTTCGATGTGTTTCGCTTGTGGCGCGACGACAGCGTCGCCACAGGTTCGACCGGAGTAGGACCACGCTCTCACAGAATACCAGAGTGTCATATTTCGTACGTGAGTGTAGCGAACCAGAAACCCTTTTTCTGGTAACGAGGCATCTCAGTCCTTAGGGATGGCAACACATCTAGATTTTGAATTTTAATCGAGGATCACTTGCCATCACGTGAACTGTGTGCTCGTTTGTCACTATATGCGCGTTCCAGACACTGTTGAAGTAAATAATAATTCTCTCGATGTAACTGGTTTTCTAATTTCTTAAAAGAGAGTAACAACTTAAATACTTTTTCGACATGTATTCTTACGATTTTTTCCTTCGTCGCCGAAAATAAGCACTAAAGATTTCAAATAATAATTTATTGTTACTCGTACTGGCTAATTTCACTCGGATTGCTCGCCTACTATGAAAGTTTCGACGAGCACTTAACCCCTTAGTTGCCAAGATAAAAACAAGCTGCGATCTCGTTGCTGTTGAGTTATAAATTACTTTTTTAATAACTTAAATCTCATTTTCGAAACATCCAAATGTTCCGATGTTACGAAAATGAGACTTTAGTTTTACTTTTTCGTTTTACTTTTCGAAAATGTGATTTGTCTTATTGTATTCGATGGGGTAGATTTTTAACAATGTAAATTTTTTAAACCAAATGATCAAGAAATATTCTCTTCTGCAGATGGACCATTATTCATCATACGCTGGTGTACAATATTCACCATTAGACATGGCTGAATATGTTTTCTGGACAGGCGATGAGCGCGGCGTAACTACTGCAATTGAAGATTTCCTCCAAGAGGGCATGGTTTGTATAATATGTTTTATAATCACACGCGAACTAGAGTAATTAAAAATTTTGGGTATGGATTCGTTTTTCCGTCATAGCCTCTTAGCATACTAATGGACAAATCACTCTACTTAAGTAACTCGCGTCATTTTTTATATAATTAATTACATTTTCTTGGTGGTAGAGCCATGCTGCAACTATATTATGATTACATCACGAATGGATCGGCTCTACCATGGAAGCCCACGCTCTCACAGAATACTAGCGAAAAAAAAATTGCAGCTTAATGCTGCTGTATGGTGAGTGCAGAGAACCGGAGCCGTTTTAACTGGAAAAAAGGCTCTTCACCGTAGTCGGCAGAGCTGACAACGCATCTGTATTTTGATTCTTAATCGAGAATAGACGTAGATGTTTATAGGTCACGTCATGCACTTACCATCAGGTGGACTTGTGGTCGTAGTTAAAAGACATACAGTTTACTGAAATTAAGTTTTATTGCAGATGACAAAAGAAGAGGCGATTAATTTCTTACAAGAGATCAAGTTCAACATCGACTACCTCCGAGCACACTACTCACAGAGTTTGAGAGCGGCTGAAGAGAGTGCTCAGCAAGAGAAGTTAAGGAACATGATCCTAGAGCAGAATGCTAAGGTATGTCACTATTTTAGTTTATTATTATTACCTACAAATTAAATGGTTTTGGATTCAAATTCTAGACGCAAAAATCTAGTTATTATAAATGAATAATGTTTAACTTTGTGTATTGTTAAATTCCAATTAGGATTCGTTATAATGGATGCGATTTGATAAATTCTAATTTCCAAATATTTTCATGCTTTTCTACAATTTTTAACACCCGACGAAAAAGAGGAGTGTTATATGTTTAACGTATGTATCTGTGTGTTTGTTTGTAACATCGTAGCTCCCAAACGGAAGATGAATTTTTTTTTAGTTGTTTGAAGATTATCAGTTCTCTTTGTTTCAAGGATTTTTAAATTTTTTAATTCAAGTTATCAAAACAAGGTATTTGTTTGCAGATATTAGTTTCTAAGCGTTTTTCATATAATATTACGCCCATAATGCCCGAAGAACCAAGTAAAACTAGTTTTTTGTCTTACCCGGCATTTAGAATAAAGTTCAAATATTTATAAATTGCATAGGTGACTAATTTATGAAATACACACTTCCGAATAATATATGAATTACAAATAGATTACATAGGTTAAGTTGCACCTTAAACTAGTAACCTTGATATAACTTATTATTATATGCTTTCGTATTTTTAACAAATTAATTAGATATCATAGGTACTTTAATTATTATTCGGACTTCACCCAATAAGCCGGGTAAACCAGGGTTTACTTATTTACTAGTTTTGAGGGCACTACTCGTAAAATATTTTATTTTATTTATTTACTTAGCTATTTTATTATCTTCAATTTAAATTATGATAACGACAATATCATAATCTAAATTGACGATAATAAAATGGCATAATTTGTTTATGATCTTTATGGTTTTTCTTTCTTAAAAGACGTTACCTTCGGATTTTCCACGATACAGGGTTTTCTCCCGTATCGTGGAGGCAGTTTATAAACATAAATTGCACAAAGATAAGCAACCAGACCCGGAACAATTATTTGCAGGCCATACAAATACTTGTTCCGTGCGATATTCGAACCCGCGGCCCCCAGCGCAGCAACTCATTGCTAAGCCACTGCGCCACGGAGCCGGAAAATAATTTGCATACTACTTATTACATCTGATTAATTTTCTTAAATCAATTCAGCAGTTTTATTAAACAAAACCTTTTTTTAACCCTGGACGAAAAAGAGGGTTAAAAAAGGTTATGTTATATATTATGTTTAACGCGTGTATGTGTGTACCTGTGTCTGTCTGTGTTATAGTAGGTCCCAAACTGATGAGCCGATTTAAATATAGTTTTTTTTTTTTGTTTAAAAGGAAACTTAATCCGAGAGTGTTCTTAGCTATGATTCGAGATAATCTTTTCAGCCGTTTGAAGATCATCAGCTCTTTTTGTTTCTGGAGATTTAATTTTTTTTTAATTTAATAGAGAAGTTACAAGATGAAGGTGTGAAAGAGAAGTATAAATGCAGATTGAGGGAAAATATTAGTGGGTTGAATGAATTATGTATGAATGATTTAGAATTGAAGAATGTATGGAATAATATTAAGAAAGTTTTGGTGGATGCAGCCACCGAAGTATGCGGTGTAAGTAAGAGAACGAATGAAAGGAAAAGTAATACGTTGTGGTGGGATGATGAGGTACGGATGGAAGTTGAAGCAAAGAAGAGAGCATGGCTAGATTTACTAGCAACTAAAGCTGGTAATTCTGGCGGTATGAATGATGAGATTGAAAGAAAAAAGGCAGACTTTAGACGTATAAATAAGAGAGTAAAAGAAGTTGTTGAAAGGAAAAAGCAAGAAAGGATAGATAAGAATGATAGAAGGATATCTGATAACTTCCAGGCAAATATTAAAATGTTCTGGAAGCTCGTAAGAACTGCCAGGGGAAATTCAAAACAGCCTAGAATAAATGCTATACGAGACGAGAATGGCTGCATGCTGAATGATGAAGTTTCGAATTTAAAGAGATGGAAGGAATACTTTGAAAGCGTGTTTAAGAGTGAAGAGTCGTCTGGAATAAATGAAATAGAAATTCCGGAAGAAGTGGAGAGAGGTAGGGAGATAAGTGTAGATGAAATAATGAAAGCAATGAAAAGCATGAAAGCAGGTAAGGCAGCCGGATATGATAGAGTATCACTCGAAATGCTGAGGGCTGGTGAGGGTGTGGTTACGGGCCTGCTGCACACCTTGTTTAATTTGTGTTGGGAACTGAAACGGGTACCGGAAGACTGGTGCAAAGCCGTTATAGTCCCAATATATAAGGGAAAGGGGTCGCAGCAGGACTGTAAAAACTACCGTGGTATCAGCTTGCTTAGCATTGTGGGTAAACTGTATGCTAAGGTGTTAATTGAAAGAGTTATGGAAGAAACTGATGGAAAAATTTGGGATGTGCAAGCTGGATTTAGAAAGGGGATGGGGTGTACGGATCAAGTCTTTTCCATGCGCATGATAGCGGAGAAGTTTTTGGCTAAAAACCAGAAAGTTTTTTGTGCGTTCATGGACTTGGAAAAGGCTTATGACAGAGTGGACAGGAATGTGTTATGGCAAACACTGAACTCATTTGGGTTGAGCGCTGGCTTGATACAGGCATTAAGATCTCTTTATAGGGACTCTAGTGCTTGTGTCAGGATCAACGGGGTCTACTCGGACTGGTTTGGCATTCATAAAGGTGTCAGACAGGGATGTGTGGCTTCCCCGTGGCTGTTTAACTTATTTATGGACAGTTGTTTGCAAACTTTGAAAGTTGAATAATGTGGGTTGAGAATGGGTGAGTCAACCGTCAAATGCCTTTTGTACGCCGATGATCAAGTCATATTTGCATCGTCGGCGGCCGAGTTGCAAATGATGGTTACTTTAATGAATTGGTCATTGAAAGAAAGGGGTATGAAAGTGAACGCAAGTAAGACGAAAGTGATGGTTTTTGAAAGAGAAGAAAGTAAAACTTTATGTGAAATAAGAATAGAAGGGGAGTTGATTGAGCAAGTGGATGAGTTTGTATATTTGGGATGCTTATTTAGCAGGGATGGTAGATATGATAAGGATATAGAACGACGAGTGAACGCAGGAAATAGAGTGAATGGGGCTCTACACGCTATTATGAGGAGTCAGAATGTGTCAACTAAGGCACGTATGGCAATTCATAATGCTGTGTTAGTCCCTACTTTAATGTATGGTAGTGAAAGTTGGGTCTGGCAGAAGAAGCATGAGAGTAGAATAAATGCTGTAGAAATTCGTTCCTTAAGGAGTATGCTGGGGCTGAATCTGAATGACAGGGTGAGAAATAGTGTGATAAGAGAAAAGTGTGGTTTGCAAGATGACGTTGTGACAAGGATTAAGAAAGGAGTGCTTCGGTGGTTTGGTCATGTAGAAAGAATGAACGAGGAAAGAGTGACAAAGCAAATTTATGTTGCGGAAGTGAACGGCAGGGTCGAGAAGGGACGCCCTAGACGAAGGTTTATCGACCAAATCGGCGATACATTAAAAATGGGCCAGATTAGGAGTACCCTTAACCGACGAGCGTGTATGCGTAGATATATGGATGTAAAAGAGGCGAGAGAGGTGTGTCAGGATCGCGCCAAATGGAAGTCCGTAGTCTCTGCCTACCCCTCTGGGTGACAGGCGTGAGTGTTTATGTTATGTTATGTTAATTTATCTTGTAAATAGTCACGGGATGACAACGTGCGCCTGTGCTCGAATAAGAGCAGAATATACGGCCTCGCGTATATTATTACTAGTGATCCACCCCGGGTGATTTCTGGTTCTCGGCTATATAAAATTATTATTTTTTATTTCTAACGCCCCCGCGCTGCCCTTTGTGGGTAGAATTTCATAAAATCCTTTCTTGGTAATTTTTAACATGCCAAAAATAATATTCCGACCTAGTATACGTATATACGTGGTAGAGCCATGCTCCAGCTATATTAGTAGTATAGTGGTATCACGAATGGGTCGGCTCCACTGGGGAAGGACTACGCTCTCACAGAATACCAGCGTAAAATAGCAGCTTAACACTGCTGTGTTTCATATGGTGAGTGCAGAGAACCGGATACCCTTTTTACTGGAAAAGAGGCATTCCATCTTAGTCCTCACGGGTGACAACGCATCTGTATTTTGATTCGCAAACGAGGATAAATGTAGATGTCTATGGGCCACAGCAGCCACTTACCATCAAGTGGACTGTGTGCTCGTTTGTCACCCTATCCTATAAAAAAAGTTTTATACGAGCTATAGTTTGAAAATGTGATTTTTTTTAGTTAACGCACCCGCAACCCCCCTTTCAGATGGAATTTCATAAAATCCGTTTTTAACTGACCTCTACTCAGCAAAAGGAATATTCCTACCAAATTTCAAGTCTCTAGACCTTATGGTTCTAGAGATGTCGTGATGAGTAAATACATAGATGGAAATCTCTTATTTATATCGAACTATGCTTTTTGGGCCAGTCTCTCAATATTCTGTAGGATTCATTTCGAAGCTTTCCTTATAATTGATAGATCCTTTCATTAAAAAAAATTATCCGTTAATTAGGACCGTTTTAATATTAATTATGTTAACTCCGAACTTTATGAATTCCTAACTCAATAATCTACAGCGTCTGCTCAAGTAATTAACATGTAAATTAATCCATTAAACAAAGTCGCTAGGATTATAAGTATATAACAATATACATACCAACCTATGTACAAGATAGATTAACGTTTTTTTCTGTCTTTTTACATGGGGTAATGCCTACTCATTCCCGCCTCGCGGGAGTAAGGAAGTTTTTTTACACCGTTACCATAACGTGTTCAACCGATGGTGTGGACTACGATAAACAAGCTTTTCCATCCAAAGACAATGTAAAGTTCGTCTAAAATATGTCAGACCTAAAATCGTCAAACATTAGTGAGAGTCTAAATCTAAAGTGTACATAGATCTAGTATCATGGGCATGCAAGTTAGAACATTATTTTACGAACAAAATGATACGTTTTATGTGCTTCCATCTACATTTCGAAGTGCTAG